TTTTTTTTTTTGCAGCCTGACTGTCGTCCTATAGCAGCAACTCTCAGCTTCTCTAAGCTACTCTAGGCGATTCTTATTTTGTTCTTGTTTTTGGTTTTTGTTCTTGTTAACTTTTTGGTTTTTGTTCTTGTTTTCGCTTTTTTTTGTCGCCATCGCAATAGTACAAGGATGATCTTGTGTTATTTTCCCTCTGTGACCCGGAGCCTGAGCTCAGTGAGCTGTATGTCCATAGGGCCATAGGCTACCATAGCTGCCCCTCGCTTAGCTCCCTATATCATATGATATTATGCGTACGGAAACGACAACGACAGTTACAAACGTACGACAATTTTCAATTCGTCAAAGCTAACTGCCCAATCAGTCAGGCTGATTGGTCGGACTGGATCTGCCCAATCAGTCAGGCTGATTGGTCGGACTGGATCTGACCAATCAGTCTCGCCTTCCAATCAAGCCAGGCAGTGGTGTCCAATCAAGCTCGGGCTGCTGAGCAGTCTCGTCTGTGGCATGAAAGGGCAAACTTTAAGGGCAAACGAAGCACAGCACACGACATGCAGATGCACAGCATATGACCGCGATCACACAGTCTGAGAGATAAATTAGGCAAAAAGCCGAAAGGATGTCAACTGCAAAAATCCACATCCTGTACGTCCCATCCTACGTAGCCTCCACCATCCTACGTCGCCTCCACCATTCAATCCTCAAACGAATAAGCGAAGGCTGGCGCCATCCTACGTAGCCTCCACCATCCTACGTCGGTTGGCGGCAATAAGCGACGTAGATGACTGCTTCGCTGAATCGCCGTTGCCCTCAGCGTCGGCTGGCGCCATCCTACGTAGCCTCCACCATCCTGCAAAAATTCACATCCATCCTGCAAAAATTGCACATCCATCCTGCAAAAATTCACATCCTGTACGTCCCATCCTACGTAGCCTCCACCATTCAATCCTCCACCATCCTACGTAGCCTCCGCCAGCCGACGCTGAGGGCAACGCGATTCAGCGAAGTAGTCATCTACGTCTGTCTGCATGAACCGCGCGCCAAGCTATGGAATCGTATGGATGCATGGGCTTGGCGCTACCGTCCTGAAAAAAAACACATAGTAGCATACCAGTCCCAGCGAGCCGCGCATTAGTCGGGAGAGGGAGAGACACGTTCGCTACACAGAGAGAGAGAGAGAGAGAGAGAGAGAGAGAGAGAGAGAGAGAGAGAGAGAGAGAGAGAGAGAGAGAGAGAGAGAGAGAGAGA